AGGGAAGAACTGTTTGTTTCAAGTTGGTCATTCAGAATTATGTCTTATGAATAAAGATAGCTTAAGGCCCTTATTTTGGGTGTGAAGAATTTGAAATTCGTCATTAGAAGAATGATTATTATCTAGAAGGTGAAGTGCGTATGTAGAATCTGTTTTCCCATTATTGAAAGAACCTTTATCTTCTGCTATACGTTTGTTAAAAGTTCTACCAGTTTGACCGATGTAAGTTTTTGGGCAGTCGCCACATTTAAGTTTGTACACACCACTGTGTAAGTGTTTTTTATTTTGGCTCTTGTGTTTAATATATTTGTCTAAGTTGTTGTTTGGTCTAAAAGCTCTTTTCTTTTTTATTGTTTGGCTATTTTTGTTGTTATTTTGCCTATATATGTAATCGAGCAGAAGGTACTGGGTTTTTTCTCTGGTGGTAGAAATACTAATTTCAGGGCTTTCTTATGTAGTTTTTGATGTTTTAGTCTTGTGGTGTGAGTCAAACTCGAGTATCCATATTTTATTTTCTGTTTGTTTAACTACATCTTGTATTGGCAGATATTCTTTTAATTTTTTACTTTTTATTTAATTTCTATATTTTGTTATTTTTTATGAAATTTTAAATTTTAATCTGCTGATAATAAATATATGATGACTAGAAACGGATTAATAGAGAGTAGTGAATCCATGTGAAGACCTCTATTTCGTGGCGCTACTTCCGTGACCTTGACATACTTCATTCGCTTAGCTCGGGCATATTTTGACAGATTCATTGTCGGAAACCTACAACACAACAATTCCTACTTCTCAGTATTACTAGCTCAAGTATACTAATATTGCAGACTTCTTTCTTTGAAAAAAAGAAGAATTATTCTACATAGTGTAAGTGTATACTAAACTCATCAAATTTTCCCTGTAGTTCTATCAAATAATGCGTTGGTAAGATTTTCTTAAATAAATATGATAAATATTCTTTAAAATTTAATATTTTTAGATGAGTAAGGATGCTGTTAAATTACAAGGTAATCAAACTGCACAAAGATTTATTCAAAATACCAACCATTTTTTTTTATTTGCCCATTCGGCGTAGATTGATCATTAAATATATTTATGAAATTATGTAAATATGTTCTTAATAACAAAAATATTTCAGTTAACATCCAGTTCAGTTTGACATGGCGTCAAAAATTATCTATAATTTAATAAAAATATATTTTATAAAAAGTTATGGTAATTTAGTTTATATCGTTAAGTTACTCCAAATGTAGGCAACTAACTTAAACTTTTTGTTAACATTTAGCTGGCTAAATGGCTTGGAGTTTCTTAAGAATATTTTTAATAAACGTTTAATATTTTCCAGCTAATTTATTATTTTTTAAAAGTGATATTTCAAATGATATTTAATCACAAAACGTACATAATATTGTACAACGTACAAAATATTAAACGTTTATTAAATATATTCTCAAGAAACTCCAGCTAAATGCTAACAAAAAGTTTAAGTTGGTTGCCTACATTTGGCGCAACTTAACGAAATAAACTTAATTACCGTAACCTTTTTATAAAATATATTTTTATATACAATAGAAACTTACTTTCTTTATACATGCTATAAAGTCATAGTATAAGCTTGCAGAAGAGGTCGACGAAATACTCTAATGAAATGCGCTATGAGCACGTGTGCTTGGTTGTATAGTAATTTTCAGCCACTTCTAGTCTGTCAAAAAGTAACTAACTTCGTAAAAATATAATTACTAAAATCACTAGACAGTTCGGACTGGGATTAGCGAACCGAGTATATGACCTATTTCCCAGTGTTAGGAACGTGTGACGTCACAGCGGTAAGGTGACAAGCACCGGCGTCACCTTTTAGACCGAAATTTTAAACGAAACAAAAACATCATGAATTTTAAAATATTACTTGTATTAAAATAATAATATTAAATATTTTGGGCTGTATCAGATGTTTATGCACGGTTTTAAATAGTTTTCAAAAAATAGTCAATATTCCTATTTGTATTTTAATAAGCAATAACAAAAACCGATTAAGGTTATTGAATCTACGTAAAATTTTTAAGGGATATTAATCTTTTCAGGTGAATTTATTAGAAATGATTGCTTGAAATACATCTTTATATGAGTTTTCCATTCGTTTAAAATAATATATAGAAAATAAGGTGTCTTTAATAGAAAACGATCCATACAATACACATATAGGTATAATATCACAATATCAAACATTTCAAATTAAAAACAACTAAATACAACACATACGTATTGCTTCTTTTATTCAGTTATTATATTTATCTCATAATTTCTTCATAAAGTAACAGATGGACAAAGACCATTCTAATGTACATGAACGTATCGACAGTTTACCCAGAAGACAAAAATACGCGTAGAAGTTTTGGATTTGCCGCATTTAATTGTATACCTACATATGCTACGACATTCAAAAATCTGAAAAGGTTACTTTGGTATATTTTGTAGAAAAAATAAGTGATGTATGTGTTTAAGTATCATATTACTTTCTACCGATTGTAGGTTAGAAGAAATCGATACAAAAATTATAAAAAATATATGTTGAGAACTTAGATGCAATAGTTAAGTACTTTATATAAAATAAATAGTACCAGTGTCAGTGTTGTTTGTTGAAAGTTCTACAAACATTTATTCTTCCAAAGTGGTTAATAACTTTTCAGAAAGCTTTCAAGTCGGTTGATAGCATTCTTTACGGTATATAATATTCTACAAATTAGTCAAAATGAGAGCTCCTACATACATTGAACTCCCGCAATATATTTCCCGCCCACATTTGATATACCAAGTGTCGATTTTTTAACCAAACAATGTTTCAATATACAATGCTTTTCAGATAAAACTATCCACCTTAAATAACTTTTTTGAACTTCTAATTTTTAGGAAAAGAATGCGATAAGTTACTTAGGCAAGTGGTTGATCGTATTAGAACAATAGTAGAAAATGATAATAACCTTTCCGAAGGTTTGGTTTTATTTCAACATGATGTAGCTTCTCCACACTTTGCTCTACCTATGCGACAATTTTTAAACGAAATTTTCCCGCTCGTTGGATAGATAGAAGAGGACATATGACGGATTGGCCACCTAGGTCACCGGATTTAATACCCCTAGACTTCTTCTTATACGGGTATATAAAAACAAACATTTTTGCTACCCAACCAGAATCTCTATATGATATGCGACAAAGAATATAGGATGAATGTCGACAACTAAATTCAGACGTATTAAGCAATGTCAAAGAATAATTTTAAAATATATTGTACTATTGTATAGAAGTGAATGGCAGTCATTTTGAACAATTATGGTAAACATTTTTTGTAGTGAAATGTTCATTCTAAATGTTTTGTAATAAAATTGATAAAAAATAATTTTAAAGCATCATGGGTTACACATTTTTGAAATTAGTACATGGAGGAGAATCCAAATATCCAAAAAATGTGAAAGTACTTTAAAAAAATAAGGGATCATACGAATGGTGAGGGAATGCCTTTCCTGAAAGCTTAAATATGAGATAATGTCTGCCCCTCCAAATATTAACTAAGAACTCGTAAGGCTTTTAACTTAAAGAAATTTAGTTGACCTACAGTCGCCCAGGAGCGCAGGACGTATTGAGATGTATCTACTAAAAGGATATAATTGTGAATTAATATTAAGAGAATGGCCTCTAAATAGAGCATTTATGAATGAATTATCGTTTTTGTATCATTTAATTAGTCACAATTAATAAATCACATTTGCTTTAACCTTGGTCAAAATTGAACTTTTCACGTTTTTTTTTAATTAACTTGGCTGTACTTATTTTAGGTAGCAGCATTGAATATGGAATATTTATACCGAAAACATTATGTGGTTCTTTTAAATAAACGTTTTAAATAAATATAGGTAAGCCTTCTTTTAATTTTAAAATTGACCTGCCCATTTATTGATCCAAAAGTCGTCGCTACTTTACGCATATCTTTCTGATTTACTATTTAGTGTATTTTATTTCGATTTGTTTTTCTTCTTTATTCAAACTTACACCACTATCACCAGGTATTCACAAATGTATGGCATTAAACATTTATATATCCTTATAAAACAACTTTATTAAAATTTAAATAAAAACAGCAGTTTTTTAAGGTTCGCATTATGCCTATAAAATATTCAAATCACACTTTCTACTTTGTGTTATAGTTGTTTTAATCAAGTAAGGATTTATAAAACAAACGTGTTAAAAGTACTAGTTATGCTGTTGCCTAAGATTTTTTAAATGATTGCTCCCTTTCCCATATCCTACTAACTGCGCCAAACTACTATTGGTCAAATGGTACACGAGCTGTTGCAACTTTATCAGTAGAATTTGACTCCCACATAGTAACCAGCATAAATAGTATTTGTAAAAATAAAATGTTCAAAGAAAGTACATCGAGAATGGGGGCAAAGTATTTTCTAGTAAAAAAATATGATGTTTTATATTCATAATTATTCTATATCAAGACTATATTTTTGATAAGAAATTTCCAATTCTTCTACACATAACCACATCTAATAAGATCATTTCACAAATCTTTTGGAACAGAATGTACAATTCCATCGAAGCAGCCTCGGTCGTTTTTCCTTCGAATGCTGTCTCGTTTTTTTCTACACAGACTGACAAACTTTCAGACTGGTTTCCGCGTTTGACAAGTTGTACCAGTAAATTTGTACAAATAAGAATTTTCAAAATACCTATTAATTGTAGATTTTTATGGATTTTATACTACAATATCGTTTCCATTTCAAACTCTATCAACTCGTATGTGCTACACATAAACAGTAAATAAGTACCGACAAATGTAGCAGTAATTTATAGGAATGAAGAATATTGTTAAAAACAGTTTTATACCAGGCACCATATTGTTTGTTTCTAAATACTTATCTACAATCGGCCCTAGATATCCCTTTTCTTCTAACCTACATCATATTCATCTATTTATAATTCTAAAACCTGCATTAGACAGCACTAACGTGTACAGTATGGTTAGAATCGATCGATAAATTTTCGTTATTAGCCTCTCCGCTACTGGCCAAGTCGACCTGATCGCCGTGTGGGGTATTTTTCGCTTTATGCTTCTTACCGATACCGGGTATTTTAGTCAGGTGCTTCAGAGCCCCTTTACTCTTCGACTTTTCGGTTTCTTCCTGCTCCTCGGTGATCGAGTCCAGCGTAGCTTCACCTTGGGCCGTCTGGTTGGGATCTTGAATCGGAATGTCATCTGTAAATAAATAATTTTGATAAATATGGATTTTAAATTTTCGACCTTAAGTAACAATCTTTATTTTTTAACAAGAACACTAATTAACACTATTTAATGTGTAAAAAAATCATACAACAATAACTTCCACAAGAAATAGAGAGGGATAATCTTAATACATGTAATTTTTTCAACAATTTAATAATAACAAAGTAGAGGTATTTTATAATTAGGATACAGAATTCACAAAAAAATAATTAATATGATTCTACGTTAATAATAAAAAAATCAGAGGATTATTTACAAAGAATACTATTCTAAAAATACGCATTTCGAATATAAAAATATTCATAAATTTACCTTGAAGGTGCTACAAACTACAGCAAATAAGATTAACCACGTCTTAGTATCTATAAGGCATTCTTCATCTGTGCTAGATGTGCGATTTTTAAGGGGTCAAAATTGCGATTTAGATTACATGGTGCGAGTGCTTGTCCGAAACAAGCTTGCTGTGGTAAATAATGAGTAACGTGTAAAATAGATGAGTAAAACAGAAAGAAAGGTATGGGTTGATGCATGTAAGGAAAGAATGGACAGGAAAAAATATTTTGTGACAAGCAATTCTTTAGAGAAATACAAGACAAAACAGTGTGATAAGTATAAAAAGTAAAGAGGGTCTCAAACAGGGCCCTGCGAATAAAAGAAGAAAGTTTTTATCAAGCTACCTGTTTAGAAAATGGTCTAAACTAACAAGATGATTCAAGGGAATGAATCATGGGTTTCAACCAAGGACTAACTTCTGTAAATACAGAGGGCGAAGAATTCTTAGGCAAGAAAATAAGATGATTGTCAGACGGCTGATTATTTTGAGGACCTACTGAACGTTGAGAGGCAAGTTACAAGGCAGATGTCCGCAACAGTAACAATATAACGTATATTGAGCAGCCAATGTTAGAGAAGGTAAAGGAAACAATTATGAAATCAGGTGGTCAAGATTTGGTTACGCCTTTCACAAGTTGTGGGACATCTGGGACAATGAAGAAATGCCCGAAGGAGAGTTACACTCCTTAGAGCGTATCAGTATGGATACCGTCCTGTTAAATCTAGTATGATGTAGATCTGTACAAACAGTTTATAGATTTCAATAAGACATTTAGTTGCGCCATAAGAAGGGAACTGGTATACATAGCACACATTTTGAAGTACCCAAGAAACTCACAAGACTTTTGATGGTTACTTTGGAAGGCTCCCGGGGGAAGGTTTACTTAGAAAGCGGCAGGGAGTCCCCCGTCTGGTGACCTTTTTAGCATGACTCTTCACGTGAAAGTAGAGGAACTTGCCCAAACCCGGGTCCTATTCCCAAAGTGGACCCCTAGGTTGATATATATGTACGGTACAGTTGCAAAGCGGCAACACTGTTAAACGTGAAGTTCCTTATGAGACTAAAGCACGGCCGACCTTTTCAGTCGCTGACGTAACTCGTTTGAGGTGTAGTCAGTGAATAAGCTATATTGTCACAAGCTATTGATTCATGGTCTAAAGTTTGGCTTTAGTTTATTTTTAAAATAAGAAATTTGCTATTTAAATTTTAGTTAAGCGTTGCTTAATCCAGGCCCCCCAAAATTTTCTGATGTGGGCTCCTTTTTTGGCTGATAAAACTAAAATTGATAGATAATATTGTTGCAGATATCATGCCGAAAACAAAGACATTGAGATCATGGTCCCCTTCGGACATGCCAAGGGCGATTGACGCTCTCTGAAAAAAGACAATGAGCTTAAAAAAGCCAGTAAGATGTATAATGTGCCAAGATCAACTCTGCAACGATTGGCCAAGGAAAAATATGGAAATCCCTTGGATGCATCTCTTACAAAAGTTGGTAGGCCACCGGTTTTTTGCAATTAACTTGAGAATGAACTAGTTAATTATTGTGTAGTCATGGAAGCATCATGCTTTGGCCTTAAACGAACAGATATAAGAAGAATGGCTGTACAATTAGCTGAAAGGAATCACGTTCAGCACCCTTTCTAACATGAAATGGCTGGGCAAAAATGGGCAAGTCTTTTGTTTTAAACGCCACAAAAAGAAGTTATCAGAACGAAAACCAACTGGCACGTTGCACGATGAAAAACGGGGCACCACCGGAAACCATATTTGCGGCACATCCCTCAGGATGGATACAAGCAAATCTGTTTACAATGTGGTACAACACTTCATAGCATTTGTAAAACCTTCCTAGTAACCTTCCTTGTAAAATCCTGTCTTTTTCGTCTTAGGCAGATATTTAACCTACAGAGAACCTACATTAAATGTCAGAAGGCTGAGATAGCTAATAATGGCTTCAGAGTTACTGGAATTTTTCCTCTTAACCGAAACATATTCACAGAAGCTGAATACATCGTGTAGGTACGTAAGAATCAACAGCTTGCTCCAAATTCTACCATTTCTCAGGAATTTAACTTTGTACTTTGTAACTACATGTAGTAACTAAATACAGAGTCTATTTTGAACCTTTACCGAAACTAGACGTGTTTAATTACCAGTCTAATTTTCGCTATTTCATCTTTATCCAGTTAATAATACAAGTGTTGTGTCATATCTGTCCTAACAACATTCGCGAGTTAAAATTCGAACAGAGTGTTTTAGTTGATTAACGAGAATGTATGTTTTTTGCTTAGCTGGTAATTAACTACTGTTCAGTTATTGTTTGGCTTGGAATAGTACAAAAATATCGAACTGTAGATTAAAAAGAACGGAACTAATTAGGATTGATAAGAAGTCGAGTCTCTGAGCTGTTGAGACGAGCTCGGCATTTTTTCACGCTGCATAATAGACGGTAGTTGCGCCATGTAAGTTGTCGAATTTGTTAACACCCGTAAAAAGCGATGACCATAGAAGAAGAGGAGGGATTGTTCGGAAAAAGTAAGAAAACAATTAGATCACCTAATAATAAGCCTGACCAAATACTCAAAAGGACGCAGGACTTAAACAAAGAAACAAAAAATTTAACAACGGAAGTAAAAGAGATAAATAATGAACAGAGGAAGTATTGGGAAGAACTAAATGACCTGATGACCTAAATGAAGAAAGAATTGGACAAAATCAAACAAGAAATACAAGGAGGAGGAAGAATGGAGGAAAGGGCTAAACGATACGACATTACGTCTGGAAAGAGTAGAAAAGGAAAGAAGTCAACAATGTAATAAAACAAGGTTTGCCAATAGATGCAATCAATATATGTACTAAAACAAGCCGTAGGGAACTTCATGAAAAAAGAAATGAATATCAATGTTCAAATAGAAGAAGCAATTAAACTGGGAGGAAAAACATGTTTGGTGAAACTACAGAACAAGCTTGAATAAGACAAGGCCATGCAAAAAATGCTAGACTAAAGCACATAAAAGTCTACAAAATGTATATGAATAATGACATAAAAAAACAAGAATTACAAATACAGAAAAAAATATGTAGCCAACGAAGAAACAAATCAGGGTAAAATTGTTAAAATAAAATATAATACATTAATAATAGATGGAAAAAACACAAATGGAATAATTATAGTAACCAGCTAGAAGAAAACCAGGGAAACCAAAAAACTAACAGAAGATGAACATACATAAATAAAAGCAAAAATGATGCCCAAAGAAAAAGGTATCGAGCTTGGTTAAAAATAGAAAAAGTGCGAGAACGAAAGATAAACTCGAAATACATACAAGAGAAGACTGATTCATTATTACTTATTATTAACAACAAGGAAAGATGTATAAAATAGATAAGTGGAAATACTTTAACCAGGCAGGAAGAAAGAAGAAGAAAGAAGAAGAAGAAAACCTGGACGACGAAAGAGATGAGGTAAGGGGATCAGACGAGAGGGAAGAGGAACCACCAACGATTCTTGAAATTAAAGATACAGTTAAAAAAACTAGCCAGAAACAAATCACCCGGAATAGATAATCTTCCAGCGGAAATCCCTCCCCAGTGATTGGAATATTAGAATAATTTGTACCTAACACAAAAAAAGAGATATCTTTGAATTCTCTAACCATAGAGGAATTACGCTTCTAAATGAAGCGTATAAAATATTTTCCACAGTACTATGTCACCCTATGGCACCATATACAGAACGAATAGTAGGGAAATACCAGGCTGGTTTCACAGGTGGTAAATCGACAATTCTTCAGATTGCAACCCTGAAACAAATTTTGGAAAAAACACTGGAATATGGCTAAGATACTCATCACATATTTATAGACTACAAAGCGGCCTATGACTCTGTGAATAGAAGAGAAATGTTCAAAGCAGTAAAAGAGCTAGGAATACCAAATCATTTGGTAAATTTAACAAAACTAACTCTTGAAAAAGTTGAATATAGAGTATGAATTCAGGAGGAATTGTCTGAACCTTTTAAAACAAATAATGCGCTGCGCCAGGAAGACTCTCCCTCTCTCCTGTATACTGATCAATCTAGCTCTGGAAAAAGTAATATGTATGTCACAAATCACAACCACTGGTTCAACAATTTTTTGTTGTGAATAACTAATTGTTCTATTTAATAAAAAAAAAATGCCGGAAAAACGATAACAGGAGAAATGCGACAATGTGTAGTTCATTTATTGGAGTATTTTAAAAAAGAAAAAGAAAACAACGGACCTTTGCTTTCCTTATCATCGGTTCATGAACGAGTAACGGACGCTTTGAAAACCAGTCTTCGCACAGTGACAAGAATAAAGAATGAATACAAGACAAGGGCAGCTCTTACTACACCAGGAGAGTCACTACTATAAAAGGAGAGATTCATCTCTATGACGGTTCTGATACAAGTTTGTGGCGTCTTATGAAAAATTTCAAGTCCAAGCCCACTTCAGTTCGTTTTTTTAGATGAAACATGGATATTCCTAAAAGGGGCATATAAACGTACTTGGCAAGATGACTGTGTGAAAAGAATCAGAAAAGGACACGAAAATACAGGTAAACGCTTTGTTGTTTTACATGCCGGAAGTAGGCAAGGATTTGTTAAAGATGCTGGATTACTGTTTTCTACGAAATCGAAGAGTGCAGACTATCATGATTCTATGGATAAAGAAAGAGTCTTTTAAAAAGTGGGTATCCGAAAAGCTGATACCAATTTTGGAGGAACCATATCTAATTATTATGGATAATGCCTCATACCATAGCTCTTTAATAGAAAAGTTACCGAATGCCAGTTGGAAAAAATCGGACTTACAAGAATGGTTACGAGCGAAAAAAATAATTTTTGACGACGATTCGGGCAAGACAGAGCTATTGAGTCTTTTTCGCCAGAATAAACCACAAAATACCAGGTAGGTTATAAACGAGCTACTCCAAGATCATGGGCATCAGGTTTTGAGATTGCCTCCATATCACTGTCAATTTAATCCGATTGAGTTAGTCTGGGGCATTTCTAAACAATATTATGATCGTCATATTGGAGAACATGGACGTGGAGATGAAACAGTGAAAAAAGTTTGGGGCGATGCATTAGCTGAGGCAACACCTGCAGTGTGGGCGAGTTGTGTTAATCATACTGAAAAATTAATTCAGGACGACTGGGCCAAAATGGTCACATATGATGAAAATGAAAGTAGGATTATCATTGATTTGGCGGAAGATTCCAATTATGAAGACAGTTCCAGTGAAGACGCTGACTGATTAGCTAATTAATCAAGATCAGTACGTTGTAACAGTTCAGAATTCGCTACAGTGCTTAAAACTTAAAAAATCTGTATCATTTTTTAATTAAAGTGGGTAGATGGTAAATTAACACTTTTCTGGGTATAATTCGAAATCCTTTTAAAATGTACTTTTCGTTATATCCTGTCCTATTGTACTGCAAGCTAGAAAAATACTTCTTCGCAATTTATACGTATATTCCGTTATTAGAAATTTAATGAAAAATAATTTATACTTTTCTTTTATAACTATTATTTCGTTTGATATGCTACATTTTGCTCCGCCACTGGAGGACGTAGACGAATCGAGCTTAGACAAGGAAAGACAGATGAAACAACTTATTGCAAGTGTTTTTACACGCACACGCCAATAACGATGAAAACGATTATACTTTTATTTTACTTGAAATTTCGTTATTAGTAATCAAAAATCTATTTTACCTAAATTTAAACTTGACATTTTACTTTTTCTCAAACTTAAATTGCTTATTACTCAAAACAACGAAAATGGAGTTTGGCGCTTGTAATACTCAGGTCCAGATGTATACACTTATATACCTTGCATTTCTTTAAATTTGCCGATATGTATGTATAGAAAAAGGATAGCACAATCCAATACCTATCTGTGAAACAACAACCAGGAAAACAGAAATACTTACAGGAAATTGGGAATTATTTTATTCTATATATATAGATAGTAAAGTCTCAGAAAGTATACAGAACTATATAACAAAAAGAGCGTTATCAAGAAGCTACAAATATTATATAGCTAAGAGCACAGTAGTACAATGTTTACCTAATCAAACAAGTTTCTTGAGATTACTTTTAAATAGAGAAGAGATACAATAAATTTCTTAGGACACAGTTTAACTTCTTATAAAAAAGTAGATAAATACCGACATATTCTAAGTCAGAAAAAAATAAGGAACATAAAAACTTGAAGAGGGTGAACATAAATAAATATACTGCAGTAGCTTTAATACCTAGACAAGCTTCTATCCTCTCAACCAATTATCTATCCATCGGAATCAGTTGAAGACCATTACTAACTTTTCGATGCTTCTTGACCAAATGTCTTAAGTGGAGCATTTTTTTAACTTCTGCTTCCGATAAATCATCTTCAAAAATAAAGTTAATGAGATGGCGTTCATATTTCAAAATTAACATTGTTTGGCTTTGGTCATACTTACCAGGAAGCTTTTTCGTCCTAAACGATGCATTTGTTATCATAGATTTTGATATACTATGGGCATGGGACGGTCTGGGAGCACTACCACTTATCGAAGGTGAGTTTTGTATCAGATTTTTGATGGCGTTACCCGCTAACAGCACCTCTGCAAAAAAAGAAAGCAAGAAACGTACAAATTTTGGTATCGTTTAACAGACGAGAAAAAAAAAACACTAAAACGTATCTTAAATTTAAAAAAACTATTTTATAGTACATAAAATAGTCATCAAAAAAAATTATAATTTGAACAGGCCTTGTAATAAGCCCTTCTTCTTTTGAATGGTTAGTCAACCCTACACAAGGAATCCATCATCAATGTAAATAAATATTACATAACCTAACTTAATTATGTTATAACTTTAACCAAGTACTATAGATTATAATATCAAAGAATATAGACGCATATAGAAGGATATTTCACTGTTTTTTTTTACGTCAGCAAAGGTTGATCACACTTTATAAAAAAGAAGCAGAAGTTAATCAAGATTTTTAGTTCCATATTAATACCACTAGGAAGTAGAGCAACTTTATAAATTTTTATGTAGATACCGCGTGGTAGTAGAATAGCATTAAATATGATTCAAATTTTTAATTTAAATATGTACTAATCTAGAAATAATATAATTAAAACTCTCTTCTTATAAACTATAAATAAAATTAACTAAAACTCAATCACCGGGAGAGAAAGCTCAAAAAATTGTAAGGTGTTTCTATCAAAAAACAATTCCTGATCTTGTTAGTACGCTAGAATTGCTTTTTAGCACATACACCAAAGAATTATTTTTCACAAGTTTAAAATTCGAAATTGTGAAGTATAATTTCGGATTTTTAAATTAAAAAAAAAAAATTAAGTCTCAAATAACGCCTCACTAGAGCTCAACAAAGAAAGATAAGAAAAAGACAAAAATGGCTGCTGGGATATAGACCATAGCCAATCCCAAGAAACCCAAATCAGCAACTTCTTCTTCTTCTTCGGGTTCCTTCTCCTAGCGGAGGTTGGAAATCATCATCGCTATTTTAACTTTGTTGGCCGCATTTCTGAATAATTCTAATGAGCTGCAGCCGAACCACTCTCTCAAATTTCTTAGCCAGGACATTTTGCGTCGTCCTGGGTTTCTCTTCCCTTGTATCTTCCCTTGCATAATCAACCTCAGTAATACGTACTTCTCACCCCTCATTAAATGTCCCAGATATTGAATCTTTCTAATTTTAACAGTTTTTATGACTTCACATTCTTTCTTCATTCTTTGTAACACCTCTATATTAGTTACTTTTTCAATCCACGATATTTTATGCATTCTCCTGTAGCACCACATCTCAAAGGAGTTTAATTTTTTGATTTCAGACTGCTTTATTGTCCACGCTTTCATGCCATATAGTAAAGTAGAGAAGACGTAACAACGTAGCATTCTTGTGCGAATCTCTAGATTAAGGTTACGGTTGCAAAGTAATTTCTTCAATTTTATGAACGTGTTTCTTGCCATTTCTATTCTAGATCTGATCTCCTTTACTTGATCTCCATCTTCGGTTAGCCACGTTCCTAAATATTTATATGTTTTTACTCTTTCTATCGTTGTATTATTGATGATCAGGTTATTTACATTTTGTGATTTTTTTGAGAATATCATTGATTTCGTTTTCTTGAGATTCATTTGCAGTCCGTAACTTTCACATGCATTGTATACATGTTGTATTATGTACTGTAGATCTTCCATGTCACTTGCAAATATGACAGTATCGTCGGCATATCTAATATTATTAATACTATTTCCGTTGACATAAATACCTTCCACGATATCCAATAAAGCCTCTTGAAAAATCACTTCACTGTAGACGTTGAATAAGAGTGGTGAAAGGATACACCCTTGTCGAACTCCTCTAAGTATACTTACTTCCTCTGTCAGTTCTCCTTCGACTGTTACTCTTGCTTTCTGGTTTTGATACAGATTCGATATAATTTGTAGATCTCTACTATCAATGTTTTTAGTCTTAAGAATACTTAAAAACTTCTCATGTTGAACTCTATCAAAAGCTCTATCAAAATCAGCAACACCTGACGATAAAAAGAGATTTCGGAAAAATACCATCACCCGCCTTTTAACAGAGTTGCTAAGAAATCAATTGTCTCTATTGATTAGACTAGGTCATAAAGCACCCTGACAAAAGTATTCAGGATGGTGGTAGTACACAGACACCATCTTGATACTCAACTAGTTCGGGCTCAAGCAAATTTGATCATTAACAAACTGGAGCAAGCACTTGATGAGACTCCTATCTGAGGTCAAAATGAACTTCTACAGTTCCATAAAACATCGTTTAGCGAAGGGACCCTGTGGGTGAACTGTGTTAACGAGTATACAAAAAATGGACGACTGAAGTGGTGAAGACTATTGAGGGCCTGTGGGAGGGAGTAAATTTAAATATAATTGTTCCAAATAATATGCCCAAGCGCTCCATGGTACTCAACCGCGCCCTCAAGAAAAAACTTGATGAAGAAACCATCAGGACCTGTCTAAAGAGGCAAAATCAAGACCTTAATACAGAAGACTGGTTGTGATCCCTGTTCCACAGACTGAATGACAGTAAAGATAAAGGTTATAGAGGGAGGAATTATGAAGGAGATAGTTCTCAAATCAGCATCAGCAAATCAGCTCACATATGATGATCCCGAACAACCATTAAGAGAGTTGGAACAGTTAGTGAGAGATTGCATGAAAAATGAACTGCAACTAATCATTGGCTATGATATCAATGCCTACCATCTGACCTGGGGCAGTAAAAACACCAAACTGTTAAAAAATGGCATATCCTAGATAAGATGTCTTGTTCAGACCAACGAGACAGGCAATGAGTATATCAAAGAAACTTATCGTAATCCTAGTAAAACAAATTTGGAAATATATCAAGCAGACGTGGAATATTGTTTAGGTAAGATTAAAGGGACAATAAGGCATACATTGAACGTAGTCTTACAATTTCATTGTCATGTCAGCGCTTAAAGATAACTTTCCGGAGATATTGAGGAATTTCAACGGAAAAGTACCCTGGTGGAATGACAATCTTGCAAATTAAAAGTCAAACGAAAATTTAATTGCTTCAAAAGATCTGGTGAGTGGGGCAATTATTGCAAAGCGTGGACTGAATATACAACAACTTAGAAGGGCGGCAAAAAGATAATCATGGAGGGCATTGCTATGTCATAGAACAGACTGCAGAAAGGTCAAGGTTCCATAAAGTTCTCTCAAAAGACCCTAAGATAAGTATTCCCTCAGGTGAATACATTCCAAATTGTGAAGAGACTTTGAAATATCTTTTCAGGGTGCACTTTCCTGAGTCTCGTTCTTTCACATTCCTTCCTGATATCATAGCTTATGGTTCTAGGGAAAACTGGCGTGAAGCGAAACAAGTGGTGAATTAAGACAAAATCAAATGGGCAATAAACTAGTTTGTACCATACAAATTACCAGGTCCAGAGGGGATTTAAACAATTCAAGTTTATTTTCAATTAAGTATAAATCAATTTAAGACTATATTGGAATAATTTCACCAATATTTATCCAGTGTGAAAATTATGTTTTACTATGGTCCGTTTTTTAACCAGGAGGAGTAATTCAAATTTTCCGCGCCGTAATGCTTGTTTGCAATTGGTCCAACCGCAGGCAAGTTTACTCCACTAAATTATGACAAATTGACACTAATGACATTTATGAAATTTATTTATTATTATTATTTTCCTCTAATATAATATAAATCGATTTCTGACTCTTTAAGTTGTTTGTAATAACTTGGACTTGGTGATATGCGAATAGTATTTAATGTGATATTTTTCTAGATGATATTTATACTAAATATAGTTTAAAGTGTTTATAAATTTATAAATGTATGTTATTTATATCTAATTATCATAAGAAAAACGGCAACTATCTTTTAAATTTAGTGTATACTTGTTAAGAAGCATTTACATTTTGTTTTCATCACAATAAAAGAACATTAGTAAAGTAATGTTGTGTTTTAGTTTGATTGTATGATACAGTTGGTTTTGTTCTTCCTGGTTGTAGATCATCACAAGAAAATTGCAAAATTATGCAAGAATGTAACATAATAGATTGGATTTGTTGATTATCTCACAGAAATCCAGTATTTTTTAGTAAATTTTATTTGTTGATAACAAATGGGACAAACTCACTGTCAAAATTAAACAAGAATCCAGCATTAAAGAAATTGTAAGTACACACTTATTTATACAAAGTATCTGTTAAGAAAAAAAACTAGATTCAAGAAATTGATCATACCAGATAAGAATATGGTCTACTATTAAAAGACAAATTTCTGAGAAAAACCATACTTAGATCTGTAACATTATTGACTCTCCCGATCAAAATATTCTCTAAATTATAATTAAATACCATAGACTTAAGAGATCTATAAAACTGGATCACTCGATATTTAAATATATAAACATGGGACCAAATGTGAAAAACGTCCTTTTTTTATTGGAATATATATTGGAAGTGAATTGAAAAAAATTATTATTCAAACATAAATAAACAAAGTTAGGTTAAAATTGGCGTGTGAGGTTGTCCAATATTGATTACTCGATTACCGCAAGGCCGAGATAATCAACAAAAAAAGAAGATGTATTTGGTGACTTTTCTAGTAACTTTCTTGAGTGTGAATCTGTCTTTTTGGTTTACTTCTCCTGGTTAAAAAACAGAGTATAGTAGTTGTTATTTTAAAACAAGATACAGCGAAAAAACTTTCACATAGACTATTCATTAAAAGTTACAGTTAAATATTTCAAGATTAATTCAGGAATGCTTCTTGTTGTTATTATGAAGGAACGTTCAAGGAAGAAAAGCCGGACTGATTAAACGACGACGACTGTGCGAGAAAAAGGAACACGATTTGAGGGTTGCAACATGGAATGTTCGAACATTGTACAGATTAGGGGCTCTCCAAAATCTCTTAAACGAACTAAGTAGATACAAAATTGACATAACTGCCATACAAGAAATGAGGTGGATTGGAAACAATATTATGGAAAAAAAGAGCCATACCATTTTCTACAGCTGCGCTCCTAAAGATCACATTTTGGGCACTGGATTCATAGTTAACAATAGAGTAAGACATATAATAAAAGACTTCAGAGCCATCAGTCCCAGAATGTGTATTTTAAGAACTAAAGGACGTTTCTTCAACTACAGCCTAATTAATGCGCATGCTCCCACAGAAGAAAAAGAAGAGGAAGTCAAAGAAGAGTTTTATGATGAATTAGAGTCCGCATACCAGTCATGCCCAAAAAGTGATATAAAAATAATTTATGGAGACCTAAACGCAAAAGTTGGAAGAGAGCAGCAATTCCAACCCACAATAGGTAAGCACAGTCTCCATGAGCAATCAAATGACAATGGCAATAGGTTGGTAAACCTAGCAAGATCACTTAACATGGTGATTGCCAGCACATACTTCGCTCGAAAAGATATACACAAAGGCACCTGGAAATCACCAGACGGACTTACAGTGAATATGATAGATCATGTTATTGTAGACTCAAGACACCAATCGAATATAATAAACGTCCGTACCAGAAGAGGGGCAAATGCGGATTCTGATCACTACCTAGTCGAAAGTAGGATAAGGGCTAGAATTTCAAACATCAAAAAGGAAAGAGGCTCTAAACATGAACGATACAATATAGAAGGACTCAAAGAAACAAACAAAAATAGAGAGTACAAAGAAAATATAAGCATCAAACTAGAAAACAGACTAAAACATGAAAACCTAAATGAGGAGTGGGAAGAGTGCAGAGAAATCATAAAAGAAACAGCTAAAGAGGTGTTGGGCATGGAAGGTAAAGAAAGAAGAACAAGAACGAACCACTGGTTTGACGAAGAATGTCAAACTATAACAGAAAGAAAAAACAGAGCATATCTACAGATGCAACAGAGGCATAGAACCCGACAAGCAGAGGAAGAATATAAACAACTACGTAAAGAAGAAAAGGAAATTCACCGAAGAAAGAAGAGAGAATATATCAACAAAGAACTTCAAGGACTACAAGAACTAAGTAAACCAACAGAGACAAGAAAATTTTACCAGAAACTCAACAAAAGCAGAAAAGAGTTCAAACCGAGAACAACGATGTGTAAAGATAAGGAGGGTAATATATTGACAGAACAGAAAGAGATACTTAGAAGATGGACAGAACATTTTAAGGAAAAGCTTGGGGTGAATAGGACGGAGATGAACCCTGATATACCGTTAGACCAAGCAGACAACAGAGAAAAGAGTCCACCAACAATAGCAGAGATTAGAACAGCAGTGGACAAATTAAAGAACAATAAATCACCGGGATTGGATCAAATATCATCGGAGCTACTGAAAGAGGGAGGAGACGCATTACTTAAAGCCATACATGAGCTGATAAGAAAGATATGGTTGAATAAACAGCTACCAAAGGAGTGGAATAGCGGCATTATTGTACCACTACATAAAAAAGGAAACCAGTTAGAATGTGAAAACTACCGTGGAATCACGCTGTTGAATGCGGCATACAAAATAATGTCCAACGTAATGTATGAAAGACTTAGACCATACGCTGAAAAAATAGTTGGCAAATACCAATGTGGCTTCTATAGACAGAAGTCAACAATAGACCAGATATTTGTTCTGCGACAGATACTTGAAAAAACAAGTGAATATAACATCGACACACATCATCTCTTCATAGACTTCGAAAGCGCATATGACAATATAAACCGAGAATTCCTAATAAAAGCAATGAAAGAATTTAATATACCAACACAGCTAATAGAATTGATAAAAGAAACACTAAAAGTAGAAAGTAAAATCCGGATACAAAACGAATTAACGGAAACAATAGATGTGAAGAAGGGACTACGCCAAGGAGACGCTCTATCATGCATATTATTCAACATCATACTTGAAAAAATAATAAGAGACACAACAGTTAATACCCGAGGAACAATAATTAATAAAAGCGTGCAAGTACTAGCATTTGCAGATGATGTTGATATAATCGCAAGATCAAGAAGAGAAATGATAGAGGCATTCACTCAAATAGAACGAGCTGCAAAAAATAGTGGTCTTAAAATCAATCAGACAAAAACAAAATATATGCCTGCAAATAAAAACGCACAAATAAGGCAGCTGCCAAATTTAACAATAGGAGAATACAACATTGAGGCGGTAAAAAACTTTACATACTTAGGATCCCTAGTTACGTCTGATAACAACGTTGCAGAGGAAGTGAAGAGGAGAATATTTATTGCCAATAAATGTTACCATGGCTTAATTAGGCAACTAAGATCAGATAACGTCTCCAGAAAAACAAAATGCCAAATATACAAAACCTTAATAAGACCGGTACTCACATACGGTTCAGAAACCTGGACACTCTCTAAAAGGGAGGAAACGTTATTAGTCACCTTTGAAAGAAAAATCTTGCGACACATATATAAGGGCACAAAAGAAAACGGGATTTGGCGGAGAAGGTATAACTTTGAACTATACAACATATACCAGGATCCGGATATCATAACATTCATTAAAATAGGAAGGCTACGTTGGATTGGACATGTGGAAAGAATGGAAGAAGGCGAAATACCAAACAAAATATTCAAACAAGTGCCAGTAGGAAAAAGAACAAGAGGAAGACCGAAGCTGAGATACGTAGAACAAATAGAAAATGATATAACAACATTAAAAATTAAAAACTGGAAAAAAAAAGCACGAAACAGGTCAGAATGGAGAAGAATCCTTGAACAGGCCAAGACCCAAAAAGGGTTGTCGAGCCAGTGATGATGATGAAACATGGGACCAAATGTGAAAAACGTCCTTTTTTTATTGGAATATATATTGGAGGTGAATTGAAAAACATTATTATTCAAACATAAATAAACAAAGTTAGGTTAAAATTGGCATGTGAGGTTGTCCAATATTGATTACTCGATTACAGCAAGGCCGAGATAATCAACAAAAAAAGAAGATGTATTTGGTGACTTTTCTAGTAACTTTCTTGAGTGTGAATCTGTCTTTTTGGTTTACTTCTCCTGGTTAAAAAACAGAGTATAGTAGTTGTTATTTTAAAACAAGATACAGCGAAAAAACTTTCACATAGACTATTCATTAAAAGTTACAGTTAAATATTTCAAGATTAATTCAGGAATGCTTCTTGTTGTTATTAAAAGATTATGGATGAAATGGAAGTTTGGAAGTTTCGGCGAAATGGAAAATTTCAAAATTTAGCAAAAAGTTTCATTGAATACTTTTTTGAATAGGACAATTGTTCAATGAAATAATTTGGAAAATTGTCTAAAAAGTTTGATGAAAAGTTCTGAGAAAATTAAATTTTTGGTTGAAAAATTTCGAATTTTTTTAAAAAATGTTTCGTACATGTTCTTTAAAGCTGGTCATTACTATAACGATATAGGATTAAAAGCAATTAACTTAGATGCTGCTGAGTAGAAAACACAGTTTCACAACAAATTTAGACCAGACTAAACTATAGTTTATTCGTCTTCCGGGTTTGGACCGTGTCATTTGTGAGTGACCCAAAAGTGGGTTCATCTCGACGTTTCACTACAATTGTATGTAGCTTCTTCAGGAGAACAAAGACAAAAGAAATCAAAGGACAGGAAGATGGGTAGTTAGCAACGGTAACTCAGTTACTCAACGCAACCAGAGGCGAATACTAACTACCAAGATGGGCATTTGGTCACAGTAACTCAACTACTTAACGCAGCCAGAGGTGAAAACCAAATGCCAGGACAGGGATTCACGTCCAACAGCTCAGAACACTAACGCGTCGAGAGGCGGGGAGTGAATCCGACGATTACTCCGCTACCGCTCTATTTATAGTCGCGGTGACCTGTCGTGTCGGGACGTATCGGCACACTTCGTGGCGTGAACGTCAAGAAGCGCGCGCTGGCCAATCATGTGGCTGCATCGTGGTAGCGGGACCGGACGGCGGCTCTAGACTGAGATTCCAGATGGGAGACAAGTAGTATCCTTCCTCTCGATTGATATTATGTGGATTTTTTCGGATCTCTAGAGATTCGCGGATTTTCCTGGAATAAAAGAAGGGGCTCTTAGAAATAATATGGGTTTTTTCGAACAATGAATGACCGGTTTCTTGGCAGTGTTCTGCAACTGCAGAATGGGAGAAAAGACCTGATCGAATGCATCTTTGATGCTCTTGAATCCGAGTTTTGACGGAACGACCAGTTTCGCCAATATACACATGTCCACATGAACAAGGAATAGAATAGACACCACAGGAAGATAGGGGCGGTAATGGGTCCTTAGGAGAGGGTAGATATTGTGAGATTTTCTTGGGTGGTCGAAAAGTAGTCCTGATACCTTCTTTGCGAAGAATTTTGCCAATCCTATCAGTGACGCTTCGAATATACGGAAGAAAAGCCACAGGAGTATTACCCGAAGATTCTGAATTTGTCGTCCTAGGGTGTAAAGGGGGATGTAGATGTCGGTGTGTAATATTTTGAATTGTCGACTTGGAGTAACCGTTGGCGACAAGGGTTTTTTGCAGATGGCCAAGTTCTTCTCTAAGGTTGTCGGGTTCAGAAATCGAATTTTTTCTTTTTTCTTTGTTCTCCTGAAGAAGCTACATACAATTGTAGCGAAACGTCGAGATGAACCCACTTTTGGGCCACTCACAAATGACACGGTCCAAACCCGGAAGACGAATACACTATAATTCTGACTCTGGCCGTGGAAACCTACGATTTCATCAGACTAAACTAGTTTGGCTTGTCAAATGTAAATACATCATTAAAAAAGGTTCTAAAAGTATTTTCTTGATGAAGTACTCTATGGGAATAATGGGAATAAGCCACAATTTCAATTATTCATGTAACAACTATATGCACATACACTTACCAGTGTAAGATTCATACTTTGCCCTATATATGACATCATGAAGCGCTTGAAGACCACCAGATGCACATCTTTCTGCTGCATGGTATATTATATGGAGCAATTCAATTAAAAGAGGACTAGAAACTGGAACTCTTGGCGTAATTCCGTGTTGAATACTACTGTCGCTAGCTACTGAACTCCTATTGCTGTCTGGTTGATTGGTGAATCCTTGTGTTATTAACCTAAATGATAAGAACAACATTCAGTAGCTGCAGAGATTGAATCGTGAGAGTGGTAAAATTGTTATGGTGATGAAAGAGAAGCGTAAAGTAAGAACGCAGAATGTTGTAGGTTAGATGTGGCTGGTGTCTTTTAAAGATGTTGAATCCATGTAAAAAAACTTAAGAGTCGATGGCGAGAAAAATTGTCTATAATTTTCATCTGAAAATGTATTTATCAACAAAAATAAAATAGAGTTTAAATCGTACAATGATTATAAGAAGTGTAAGTTTTCGCTACCAGTGACTTGTAATGATAAATTGGTTTCCAGGCTTTTATACTATGTTTTGGCAGGGAGTATCAAAGGAGATTGGACAAAGGACAGAGTTTCCTTTCTGATAGTGCCTTTTTACTGAGTGTGATTTTCCAGGATGTTCGTTTTTATATTTATGTTCTGCACACTAGACTCTGTTGGTTGGTAAATGTCGATGATCCGGTGTTTCTGGGGATATGATTTAGAAGCGCTGTGGACATTTTGTTTAGGTACAGATCCCGTCTTCGACTGGAGTTGGATGGGTGTTTTTGGATTTTTTGTGAACACTCTGAATATCTGTGTGATATCTTAAGGATAGGGAAATTGAGGGTCCATTGCATAATGTTTAAGGTGTAACAATTGCAACTTCTCTTTTAGTAGTTAAGTAACGTTATCAGAGATAATAAGCAGAAAATTTTGGTGCTCAAAACCAATCCTTCAATAAACCAGTCCATGTTACCGTTAAAATAATTGTAACTAAGTATTTTCTTTCTATTAATCAATTGATGTATTAAAAGTATGGTAGCAATGTAGAATATAAGCTTTAATGATTAGATACATATGTAAAGCTTACCTAGAAATTCCTCTACAAGTATGTTCTATTCCCTGTATTATAACATTGGCTATTTGTTGATTGTACAAAAAAATCAGAGCTGTTGCAACTCGTTGCCTGTTCTGAGCATTCAGACAATCAACTTGGGGTAGGGGACCCCAACTTACTAATTTCGTATTACATTCTTCCCATCTCCTAAGGGAAGTTTCAGCTATAAAGGCCGGTTCTAAGTTGTTGGAGTCATGGAAGATCGAAGACTGAGCTATACTCGGTATCCTAAAGGATAGAGTCCTTGGCTGACCTTTTGAGTCTATTACCTAAAATCATAAATACATACAATGTTTTTTTTCTAGGTAAATATTGTAAAATAAAAAATAAACTAGTGATTAAGTTGTGAAATAACTTCTTCAAGTTCCGTTCCATCAGTGAAGGTTGGTAATAATTTTAGAACTGTGTGTAGTTTTGTGCTGTCTTTAGAAGTGTATGTGAAGTAAGTCCTGTCCAATCATGGATGTTCTTCAGGCAGAAACACTGCCAGTTCCTCTGCAGCTCTATATTTTTCCTTCTATTATTAGTTTCCATAGCTCATATCTCTGGTGTTCTCTGCAGCTCTATATTTTTCCTTCTACAATTAGTTTTTATAGCTCATATCTCTGGTGTTGAGAGACATGACAGGTATGCAGTATTTCTTGATTAATGAAACAATCCACCCAGGATATTCTAAGCGTATGTCAGTATATCCACATTTCTAAGGGCTTAATGTGGTTCATTGTATCAATTTTCATAGTTTTTTTCTAGATATTTTTGTTTAATTCAGAATTAAACAATAACGTAAACAGCTATGTAGATGGGTTTGGTTTATCACAATGTAACGAAAGAATTTCTAATGAAATGATCTATCATCCATCCTCTTCACTAGACTTTGAACTTTGTATACCTAACATAAACAGATGGCTTGTAAAATACTATTTTGAGATGACAGATCACAATATACTTGAAATTTTACACTATTTTAAGGAGATAAAGCAAAATTACTTATTTTAAACAAATAAATGGTTGGAATGGTGTCTTAATAAAAATATTGAGTCATAAAGGAGACTATATTGAGAAATACATGAGAAAAATAACAGAAATCGTGAGTTTTCTTACATAGACTATAATAATATCAAACCACCTTCATACTATATTACTATATACTAAACAATTACAATTTTACTTACCTCTAGATTGTATAAACTCACTAGTAGTGTTTGGACTGCAGAGTATGATTTATCTGAAAGGTGTAAAAATACTAGAGTAGGAATAAATTGGATTGTAAACCTTTTTAAATGGGTTTCACCAGATCTGTAGAAGTTTAATAACTGTTGACAAATGCCCTCAATTAACTAAAACAAAACATACATGTTAGACTAACAAAAAGAACTGCTGATAAATAAACTAAAAACTAATTAATCTCCATGAAGTGATAATGGAGTATTAGCAGCATAAAATGAATCATTAAGATATTACAAGATATATTACAAGAGGTATTATTAGTTATGGTTGCACAAAGATCTGATCTTTTTGAAGATCTGTGATTGATGCAATCATATTCTGTGAACCTACTGTTCAAATGATCCTATGAATCATGCATATGAATGACTCTGTCTAGTGTTTATGAAAGAACTGTGTGATCGCAACACATTGCTCCTCACGGCACGAATCTCTATGAACGGGTTCTGCATTATCATTAATTCATATACTCTCAGAAAGATTCATAAACATATCCATATTAAACTCTACACACTTGACCTTCACACAACAAATTTAATTAGTGGTTCATATGAACGGATCTTTATGAACAGGTCATTTTAATGAATGACCTGGACCCAGGCCACTGAAATTAACCAGGTCTTCCCAGCACTAGTACTATTGTTTCAACGCAAACAAACACAAGCACTTAAAAAAGAACAATAAGCTTGGATATATACATATGAGAAAACATTATAAAACAATTTCTAGTACTTAATGTCAACAATAAAAATTTTGCTTGTGATCAATCAAAATTATCCAAAACACTCTTTTACATTGAAAACATACATAAATAAACATACAATATAGAGAAAATAACAATAAGATGAATATATAAATTGAAAAGAGTATAATATAAATGAAATCAAGTATAGTCAAAATTACTCAATACAAATCTTTGCTGCCATAACTAACAACTTTGTTGTTTCTTCTTAAAGCAAGATATAATCAGGAAACCCTAAAGCCAGGTAAATGTTACAAGAAAGAACACCCATTTATCTATTATAAAAGGTGCATATTAACGATTTATACTTGTTTATGAAGTATTTTTTTTATATGTAGTTTCAACTTAATCAATAAACTGAAAATCATGAACATCATGAAGCATTAATGAAGATAGTGAAGAAGAGGCGGTTAACAAAATGAGAAAGAAATAAGAAATTATTTGAACCATCAACAACATTACACCTCAATGATCTCATCAATAGATATCACTCTCTCTCACAATTTACCAAGGAATAGAGGATAAAAAGCAAAAGATTTCACTTTCATTAGAATTGGTGATTAACAAATTCCAATAAATGGAGCAGCTACTTTACGAAAAGTTGGGAGAGAGAATTGTTAGTTAATTAAAATGGAAAATCTTCGTTCAGTAACACAGAAAACCTTGATTCATACTAAAGTACAAGGTTACTTTACTTACATGATCAGATTTGTATTTATGGGGTTCAGCTAAAACATTATAAAGTGCTATCATGACTTCATGATTATGTTCTTGTTCGCTGGAGTACGTGTGGATCTCACTTTCTGTTAATGACTCAAATTCATCTAGCCAGTCCAACACAAGATTATCAGCCATTATTGTCTCCTGTTGAAAGTCGAATAAATGGGGTTAGTTTCAATTAATATTCTAAATTTTACAATAAGTTTACACACACATAATTTGATCAAATCCTTTAAATATAATTACAGAAATAAGTATTCAGTTTCATTTATCTACTGGGTATTAAAAAATGAGTGTAAAGTACATCAAAACGTCAAAACAAATCAAAACGTCAATGTGGTTAAACGTCAGTCATGACAATGCAATGTTGCCAATGTCTCCAGAAATGTGTAGCTTCTTTCTTCTGTTATTATCTCGATTTTTCAGTCTCTTACCATCTGGCATAATAATTTCGAAATTGATCTATCAATAATTATATTTTGTCCGACTCGGACGCAGTGCTATAATTTGCATTTTACCTATGTCATCTGAGTATCCTGTTAGTAATTTTCAAGTAATACTAATAATATAAAGCAAATTACGGAGAAATCAGTAGAGTATAATAAACCAACATGTCTGTGTTTGATTGAACCAAAGAAAGCGTTTGACAGAGTAAGGCTCAAAGATGTAATTAATCTTCTGTATAATAGAGAATTTTCCCTAAATATTATAAAAATTATCAAAAACATCTACCAAAAAAACAAAATGGAAGTCAGAATAGGGAATAGGCAGCGGAATAAGACGACCAGGAAGAAGACGCAACTCTTGGCTTAAAAACCTACGGCAATGGACGAACATGACCTCCATAGAACTATTCAGGGCTGCTACAAATAAGATTAAATGGGCAAATGTAATGGCCAACGTCCTTAAGGATAAGGCACCGTAAGAAGAAGAGCGGAATAAGACAAGGGGATTCATTGAGCCCCATGCCCTTCAATTTAATCATGGATGAAATTATCAAAAGCGCAAAGGAAGAGGATACAGAATGGGAAACAAAGAAATAAAAATACTGTGTTACGTAGACGAAGCAATATTGATAGCCCAAGATGAAGATAGTCTGCAAAGACTGGTCCACAGATTTAACATAAGAGCAAAAGAATTTAATATGAATGTCTCATCTAAGGAAACTAAAACAATAGTACATTGGACACAAAATAGAAAAACAGAATTGAATAACCAGATATGCAGAATAAACGAAGCCCGTGTCATCAAAATAGCAAGAGATAGCAGAAGAAGTATTGGACGGCCGCGCAAAATATGGAGGGACAACCTTCCATATAGGTATTAATCCATAAATAGCTTATAAAGAGCAAGAGGAAAAAGAAGAGCAAGAATTTTTTATTTATTCAAACGAACACATTCAGCCGCATGGCATATATCCATCTACGTCGCCAGTGAGGAACGACCAGGAGATATATAAGAGAGCTCTCTTACGTATCTCTATCAACGACCAAAAACCGAGATTGGCTGTGGAATTTTTTTTGGGGCCATCGGCGGTCGGTCAATCGATTTTTATCAAGGCACGATCGGATCATTATAAACTAGCGAGATTAGGTCGTTTAATACTTTGAAGCGATCCAATCAAAACAAACGAATCAATCACGAGTGACACAACACTAATTTGAAGACATGTATTGTTGTTTTATTCTCAGTCTCACTTTATGGTGTCGAGTTTTGGACTGTAAATAAAAGTTATCTAAATCTAAAAGGCTTTCGAAATGTGGTGCTATAGAAGAATTTTAAAAATTTCTTGGGCGGACAAAACTCGAAACTCTACATTACCAGAACGTCTCAGCAAGACTACTGGGATTATAAAAAGTATCAAGAAGAGAACGTTGAAGTACTTCGGACATGTAATAAGGGGTCACAATTGCTACAAAATATTATGCAAAGGAAAATAGCAGTCAAACACAGTCCACGACGAAGAAAGAGTTCATTGTTAAGAAATTGGTATGGTATTGATACAAGCATGCTATTTAGGGAGGCAGTGAATATAATAGAACTAACTGTGATTATAACTATATTCTTTGTCAACTTAATATGAAAACTTTAGAAAATCTGAGTGTGAATTGCGTTTTTTGCATAAAATTCTTAATGGTTATGTTGATTGTCCGGAACTGCTGGAATTATTTGTTTTTAATGTAAATTCTAGAAGAACAAGCTCTCCTGACCTGTTTAGACTAAAGTTTCATCACACTAATTATGGTAAAAGTAAGTCAATCACAAGAATGTTGAGAACTGCCAATAATTTGCAAGATAGTGTTGAATTGTTTAATTTATCCGTGTCCTCGTTCAAGAATAGTTTAAAGAAATTGAGACATTAATGTTATTAATACTTTTTAAAATTGTAATATATGACTACAGTTTATATGTTACTTATATGTGTATATTGTAATTTTTGTAATGAAAAAGGGTTCATCCCGTTAAATAAACAAACAAACAAAATTAAGATAGCTATAACGGTAAAAACGTTTTGAAAGGACATGGTAGATGAAGAAGAAGAATGAAGCAAACGGCAAGTCCAATATGGAAAGGAAAAAACGAAAATAATAGTGTTATTATGCAGTTATTATTGTAAGATAAATTCGTATAAATAAACTTTAAATTAAGTTGTAAGTGTTACAAATATAGAACCTTTGATAAATAATAAAAACAATAAATTAGGATTAATAAAGACAACAATAGTAAATGGGGACGCATGGAATAAGCTATATTTATGCTATAAATTCTTCTTCTTCACGTGCCATCTCCGCTAAGAAGGTTGGCTATCATCATGGCAATTTTGACCCTGGAGGCTGCCGCTCGGAACAATTGTATGGAAGTGCAAGCAAACCACTCCCTGAGGTTTCTCAACCACGACATTCTTCTCCTACCTATGCTGCGCCTACCTTCAATCTTTCCTTGCATAATTAGTTGTAACAGTTGATATTTATTCCCACGTGTAATATGTCCCAGGTATTGTAGTTTCCTCATTTTAACACTCAATACGACCTCCTTTTGTTTGTTCATCCTGTCTAATACAACTTGGTTAGTTATCTTATCCTTCCAGGAGATTTTTAACATTCTTCGGTACGCCCACATCTCAAATGCCTGCAGCTTACCCAAACATTGCTTATTTAGTGTCCACGCCTCCACCCCATACAACAGGACCGAGAAAACATAACATTTAAGCATTCGTATTTTCAGCTTTAGGCTTAGGTTACGGCTACACAACATTTGTTTCATATTGTTAAAGGCACTGCGGGCTTTCTCTATTCTTATTCTTATTTCTCTGGTGTATTCGTTTGACTCGTTAATATTTGTTCCGAGGTAATTGTAATTTTGTACTCGTTCAATGAGATTCTGTCCTACATGCAAGTTGATATTATTGATACGTTTCTTTGTAATTATCATGAATTTGGTCTTCTTTGTATTCAGTGACAGACCAAATTCTTCACTTGCTTCTACCACTTTGTTTAGTAATCTCTGTAGGTCTTCAATATTTTCTGCTATGAGCGCGGTATCATCAGCATATCGGATATTGCAAATGGGGTGACCGTTGATCTTTATTCCGGCTTTTTCGTTCATAAGAGCTTTTTTAATAACTTCTTCCGCGTAGACATTGAACAAGGTTGGAGACAACACACAGCCCTGCCGAACACCTCTTTTGATCTGTATTCTATCTGATATCGAGCTGTTAATTCGTACTGTAGCTTCTTGTTTGTAGTATAGATTCCTTATCACTCGCATGTCCCTTGTATCAATATTTTTATTTTCCAGTATTTGCATCAGTGGCCTATGTTTTACTGTATCAAATGCTTTGTTATAGTCTAGGAAACACACAAATATGTCCTGATTTACGTCTAAGCATGCTATAAATAGTTGTTAGGAAATTGTAGTTAAAAAGAAATTAACTAAAAAACATCTGTAAATGGAGAAGAATCCAGAGTATAAGAAAAAAAGTCGGACTTAGCAAAAGACAGAGACGAGTTTACTAAAACGAGTGATAAGACTAAGAGAACCGGACAAGTATATTTAAATAAAAATGGGACGTAACTTATCAGGATTATACATAAATTAAAGATGCTAGCTATAATGAATAGCAATCGTACAAACATTAAATATTCATCGAAATTAAAAATTCAACAGGTTTATATTTGAATAAATAAAGAAGAACAATGTTGTGCAAAAATCACAATAATTCTACAAATAATTGAATAAAACTTACTCTCGTAGGAAAATTTTTTTTTGTTCGGTCCCATTTACTTCTGATGGGTGTAATCTCCGTCATGATCGCTACGAGAATCAAAAATAAAGTTAATTTAAAGAAAGACCTGCACATGGTATAAAATATTTATAAGCCATGAATGAAATGCCTTCACTACTATCAGCGGATCAATACAGTATAGATTATGTTCATCGTTAATAAACGGTTAGATTCTACTCATTTAAAATTAACTTAACTCCTACGTAAACAATAAATATTTAAAAGAGGTTTATAAGGAAAGATATTGACTATGATATACAGAGCGAATAATTGGATATTCTTCGGTTTGACTTTGAACGTAATATACATATTAAAAATAAGAACACAAAGGAAAATAGAAGAACCAAAGCTGTGGGTATTCCAAAAAAACCAGAAGTAAAAGTGTAGTTCATCATCTTCATCATCATCATCATCATCATCACTGGCTCGACAACCCTTTTTGGGTCTTGGCCTGTTCAAGGATTCTTCTCCATTCTGACCTGTTTCGTGCTTTTTTTTTCCAGTTTTTAATTTGTAATGTTGTTATATCATTTTCTATTTGTTCTATGTATCTCAGCTTCGGTCTTCCTCTTGTTCTTTTTCCTACTGGCACTTTTTTGAATATTTTGTTTGGTATTTCGCCTTCTTCCATTCTTTCCACATGTCCAATCCAACGTAGCCTTCCTATTTTAATGAATGTTATGATATCCGGATCCTGGTATATGTTGTATAGTTCAAAGTTATACCTTCTCCGCCAAATCCCGTTTTCTTTTGTGCCCTTATATATGTGTCGCAGGATTTTTCTTTCAAAGGTGGCTAATAACGTTTCCTCCCTTTTAGAGAGTGTCCAGGTTTCTAAACCGTATGTGAG